TTGGCGCCCTCCGACCTCGTCGGCCGCGGAGGCGGCGGAGCCGCCGCTCTTGCCGCAGCCGCAGAGGAGCACCGCCGGCGCGGCGAGCAGCGCCGGCAGGAGCAGGCGCGGGAGCACGGGCGTCATCGCAGCAAAGGCGCTGGGCTCGCTTGGGGATGGACAGAACCCCCTGTAGTGTTCAGGTCGGGCGTGTCCCCCTACAGGTGGATTTTGGACGAAGAATGAAAAATCATTGTTTTGTTCCTTAAAAACACCAACGAAAGAGTGAAAAAAACGTCCCCATATTATTTTTCGATTATTTTTGAATATTCCTCCTGTAGAGGGACGTGCCCGACTTAACTTTAGTAGCACGTGGTTCAGTGAAAACGGCCTCGGGCCCAAACCTGGCGGGCGCAAGCCTGGAAAAGGACGGCCGCGGCGCCCCCTCGAGAACCGAGCACGGACAGCTCACGGATCGACGCGTCAGGGAGGGGGCTCTGCCCACCCCCGAGGCCCTCTCGGGCGGAGCGCGGGCGGCGCGGCCGCCGAGGTCCGCCGCCGCGCCCCTCGTGGGCGCGGTCGTGCGGCGTGGGCGCGCCGAAGGACCGGAGCAAGTCGCCGGCGAGCGAGAGGGGGCAGGGGGCGAGCGAGCGGCCAACGGGTCCGGAGGCCCGACCCCGGGCAGGGCGGCGCGGGGGGGCGAGCGAGGGGGGGAAGGCGAGGAGGGGCGGGCCGGCCCAGGAGGCTCGGAGGTCCCCGAGGGACTCCCGAGGAGCTCTCGGGGCACCGCCCGAGGACAGGAAGGACCTCCCGGGAGGCGGGCCTCTCTGAGGAGTCCCGCCGCCTTCTGAGAAGGCCTGCTCCTTTCATCTCCCCCCCTCGCTCGCCGACGAATGCGGTTTTCGGTCATGCCTCGGGTCTCCGGCGGGCGTTCGGGACGATCTAGGCAACCCCGGAACGCCCTCGGCGAGGCGCAGCTGCTCGCAAGCATCCCGACCCTGGAAACCGCCGAGAACCGACGAACACGTCCGAAAACCTCGAACCTCGAACCCGAAACTCAACTTCTCGAACCTGCGAAGGCCGTCTCCTTCCCACTTCCCCGCCTTTCGCTCGCCGCCGAGCAAGGCCCAAGGTCATCCGAAGCTTTCGTCGGTCCTCGCGGTTGTCCCGCCTCGGGGCCCTCTCCAGGAGCTGCGCCTCGCCGAGGGGCGCCCCAGGGGTCCTCGGCGGATCGTCCGGGGGGCCCCCATTTCCTGGAGGGAGCGCCACTTCCCCGACGAAGCTGGCCCCTCCCAAGAGGCCCCCCAGAGCCCTCCCCCGACGAAAACAGCCCCGGGCGCTCAGGAACCTCCTCGAGCCTCGAGCCTCGCTGTCCTGGTGCCTCGATCTCCGGGAGGAGCCCGCGACCCCCCCGGTGGTGAGCCCCCCGTGGCACTGCCCGAGGAGGCGGCGGCGGCGGGGGGGCGGCGCGGGCTCGCAGGGGCGCGGCGGGGGCGGCGCGGGCGCGGGCGGCCGCCGAGGTCCGCCGCCGTGCCCACGCCGCCGTGTCGCGGCGGCTGCGCCTGCTGGCGGACCTCGTGTCGCTCCGCTCCGCGGGGCCCGGGGCCCGGGAAGAGCTCGGAGCGCTGCTGCTCGGCGACCAGGGAGCGGTCAGCGCGTCGCGCCGAGGCGCGGTGGGCCAGAGCTGGCGGGGCGACGTGCTAAAGCAAAGTCCCTGACCGTATGTGCGCGCGGTCGTGTGCGGCATGGGCGCGCCGAGGGCGTTTCCTTTTTTGTTGCTTCCCCCGATCTCTATATATCTCTCTCTCCCTCTCTCTCTCTCTCTCTCCCTCTCATTGCGATTACTTTACACTGGGCGTGTTTGCCCTGTTTTGGGCCCCGGGGCAATCAAATATCGATCCGACTGGAAGCATGCCCCACGAATATGGCGTACCTAAGGCTCTCGTCGTGATGTTGTTCGCGATGCTGCAATTCTTTCGCATCGTCGGGTCTCAGAGTTGCTCCCGTCGCTCTCTCACCCCCCCCCCTCGGGATCACTGTCCTGCTCGACATTCGACTGCGCGAATAGGAAGGGTATCTACGCCATGGTGAGGGACGGGGGGGAGGGGCAGGACGTCAAACACGACGCTGGCGCATCCAGCTTGCTCTCTCCGTCTCTCCCTCTCTCTCTCCCTGCCCTCCCTCCTTTTCTTCCCTGCGCCCGCCCTTCCGCGCTTGCCCCCCGCCCGCCGGCCGCTGCTCCCCATTGCCCTGCGGGTGCGCGCCAGCTTGGATCGGGTCGGGCGAAAGGAGGGGAGAGCAAAGACGGGGTTTGAGAGTCAGCTGATGTGGCTGATTTTCCCGGCGCCTCCTGGCGCCGGAGGCGGCTATGTATCGAGGAATGGGCCCCTCGGTGGGGCCGAAACCAGCTGCACGTAGCAAATTTCGTAACCCCCCCTTTCCCAATCCCCCCCTTTCGTCTGGCCCGCTTGGGTCTCGCGGACCTACGGGTCTGGCGCACCGGGCGCCAGATGCGGGCATCGGGGAAGCTGCCCCCCGAAGCGCGAGGCCAAAGCCGCCCGACCCGGCGAAGCGGAGTGCGCCCGGTCTCCTGCACGGCAGCGGGACCAGGCGCTCACCCACGCGCGCCGCGGTCCACGCTGGCGCTGCCTCTCTCTCTCGCGCTCTCTCCCCCTCCTCCCCGTGTACCGTTCCCTCCGCCCGCCCCCTCGCGCTCGCCTCCCGCCCCGCCTTCCGAGCCACATCCAGCCCGGGGTGGCGTCGGCGGCGGCCAGTGATGGCTCGCCGCGCGTCGGCAAAACGCGCGGGGGGGGGGGAGCCTAACATCGGATCCACCGTGCTGTTGGGCAATTTTGCAAGCTCCTCTGATGCCGAACTCCGCCATACTTGGCCGCCGCTGTCTCCGCCGTGCCTCTGTGGAGATCTCCGGCCCACTTCTTCGGAGGCGGAAATTGCTGCCCCATTTTTGCGCATCGTTTGGGGTGCATTCCAGACACACACAGACACTGTCAAGTCAAGTCACGCCACCCCGCTCGCACGAGGGCGGGCCCATATAGAGCGCGAGGAGAAACAAATGCCAGTCACTATTCATGCCTGGTGCGCCAAGGGAAGCAACGCGCCTGCTCACGTCGACGTGCAGAAGTCCAGGAAATCTTCTGTCATTCTCACCCATGCTGCGTAATCTTGTGCAACTTCTTTGACTGCCCTGTAACCGCAGGACACCCCCAACATAAAAGTATTCATATGAACTCTGGCCTCTGGGTCATTTGCGAACTGCGTACGCACTCTGGCACTTCATGCGCCAACGTACGCATGCGAGGTATAACGGGGCGAGTGCCGCGCTCCAATGTTCAAGCGAAGTTGTTCTGCAATGTCCCCGTTGATTGCATTGCAGTGCAGTGCGCGGCGAGATCACGGCGAGCTCACGTTGTGATTCTTGCCACGGTCCGATTCGCCGACGCACACCGAAGTCGGAAAATCAACCCACGCACGGCGGCTCCGGGCCAGGGGCCTCCCGGGGCCACGGCCGAGCCTCGGCCACCAGCAGGTTCCCCGACCAGTCGTGGTCGTCGTCGTCGTCGTCGTCGTCGTCGTCGTCGACGTCGTCGTCGTCGTCGTCGTCGTCGTCGTCGTCGTCGTCGTCGTCGTCGTCGTCGTCGTCGTCGTCGTCGTCGTCGTCGTCGTCGTCGTCGTCATGGTCGTCATGGTCGTCGTCGTCGTCGTAGTCGTCGTCCGGTCGTCGTCGTCCGGGGGGAGCGGCGCGGAGTCAGTGCGCGGCCAGTGCGTGGTGCCCAGTGGTCGGTCAGTTGCGCGTGGGCCCGCGGCGTGCTCTGTGCGCGTGGGCTCTCGAGCACCACACCCCGGGGACACAAATCGGTGCAGCAGGGTGCGCTATGCTGCCGCGCGCTCCTCCTGCTCCTCCTGCTCCTCCCTCCTCCTCCTCCTCCTCCTCCTCCTCCTCCTCCTCCTCCTCCTCCTCCTCCTCCTCCTCCTCCCCCTCGTCCTCCTCCTCCCACTCCACCCCCTCCCCCTCCCCCCCCCCCGACTCTGGCCCTCGCCCCTCGCTCTGCGCCGTCCCTCGGGCGACAAAAAAGGCGCTCTCCTGCCGCCTTCCCGGCCGGCGGTCTGCCCTCCCACCCCACCCCATCCCCCTGCGCGCTGCCAAGAGCACCCGTGAGCTATGGCCTCGGCAGCCTCGGGCATCAGGCCACGCGGTGCGCGACGCGCGCTCACCCTCTCGCCCTCGCGCCGCTCCCTCTGGGGGGAAGGGCAGCCACTCCGGCTCAGGCCGCGACGCGCGGAGCGCGACTCTTTCTGCGCCCCCCCGCGGGTGGCCTCGCGTGCTCGGTACCTGTCCTGGTGGCGCCGAGACTCGGCTGAGCACGCGCCCTTGAGTCCGCCACGGCGGCCCCCGGCGCGTCGCGCGTGCGGGAATGCCAGCGGGTACTGCGGGTGGCTCGTCAACGCTGGAGTAGGAGGCAGGAGAGAGACACCCTCATTACGAAAAACGCCCCCTGCAACGAGGGCGCTTAACTTCGCGCTCTCGCGCCGCCCCCCTAGGGGAGAAGTGGAGGATGAGGAGGAATCGGAGCCGAACCGCGAGGCGCAAATAACTTCGCGCCCTCGAGGGCGCCCTTGCTGCAAGCGAAACCCGCCAGCATACGCACCCGAGGAAAGAACCGAAAAGGGCAGGCAGGACTGCCCATAAAACACCTAGCACTGCTAAGCAAACGCCAATGAATTAGGTCGGGGTGATCTGTCATACCTTGATTGAGGGGGGAGGGGGGGCGAGATTCCTCCCGTCCGCATCAGCGCACATGAACCTCCCTCCCCCACTCCGCGGCCAACACCGCGGTGGCGGGCACGCGCGGTAGCGCAAGTAGATTGGTAGATTTCTTTGGGAGCCCGACGGGCAAGTCCTGAGATGCGCTCGAACCGACATGGCAGCGGAGCCTCCTCCTCCTCCTCTTCCTTCTCCTTCTCCTCCTCCTCCTCCTCCCCCTCCTCCTCCGCCTCCTCCT